GGAGTTTAATATTCAAGGACGAATGTTTCTAAGGGGGAAGATCGTTACACCCTGTGCGTTCCAAGGTGACGTAATGAATATGAGAATTATTAATCATGATTTAAATGAATTTAAAGTAATAATATGGCTATATGTGATGTTTGGATAGAAAATATAAAGTTTGAGAAAAATCGGATTAAAGTTGCGGAAAAACCGATTAAGGATTTGCCCTGTAACAGAGCTTTTTGAGCAATACATTCTATGTACTATATAGGGTCATTTTGGGACATATTATATACCAAATTTAAGGTCTTGGAATTTAGTTTCCAACACTATTAACTATTTGATAATACGATATCCGGATAAAAAGATATAAGCACCTGAAGAAGGGCCAGTACGAGGGTGCCAAGTAGCACCTTTTTGACTTTTAAACAAACGGGATATTTACATCCCTTATCTCGTATCCTCCATTTTTCCAGAGAGCACTACCAAATAACACCCAAACCTTACCCTTAATCTCTCTACAAGGGCTTCAAACAAGATTATTATCCCGGGCACAATTTAAAGAAGCGATAACATTAAAACGATCCCTACGACGTAAGTACCGCTATATCGCCTCTCTTTTACTTTGTAGTTTGAGTTTTGTAATGTATTTAATAGTTAAGAAAATTCCTAATTTCTGTATTTAAGCTTTTATGTTTCAAGAAAGGTTGATAAATTCATTTCCTAGTAGTAATAACTCACGGGACGGTGATCGGAAGCTGTGAGTTCGAGTTATTTGACTTGTAGTGGAATATTTTGTGGGTTGTTTCATGTTGCTTTTGGGTTGTCTATTTTGCTACTATTTAATGAAATTTTGGAGGATAAATGGTGTGAAGAAACACCACATAATAGCGAAATGGTGGATTAGTCGTTCTTTGTAACATTTTCGGGGTATTTGACACTATTATAATTCTCGCTTTGGGTATGAAGTGATTGGGGTGTGTTGGGTTGTTGTAAGCTATATATAACATGTATTTCGACTTTCATCCACTGTAGGAGGTAATTATATTGTATTATTTCATGTGCTTAAGGTTATTTTGATGTTGATTAAGTTAAATGGATGGACTAGATATGAACTAGTGAATAAAGTTGCTAATTGAGGATAGTTGGAGTTGTGGATTATTTTATTTGTTATAAATATATGGTATAAAGCTGAAATTATTGATGAATGAATTCATTATCATATTAATGATACTGTTAATTTAAGTTAAAAAGTCTATAAGGGGTGATATGGGGTATAAGTGTTTCAATCGAAGCTTGCCATTCGTCGTGAAGTAGTGGTGACTTGTTGTTGTTATATGGTGTCTTGTGATTGATAATTATATATTGCTGGATTGCTCTAGTCATTTTTGTTGGTATATGGTATTGGAGGAGACTCTTATTATAAGGGAGATACTGCCCACATTTACATAAACGAGCTTCTAGTTTAAGTTGCGGACTTAGTTTTTACTCAACACTGATTTTGAACCTCTTTATGCTATGGTAGATTGAGTTGAGTTGTTTGAAAATTTTTTTGGAAGGTATTAAGGACTCAATGGAATTAAGGTATGTTAAGTCTATCCCTTATTTTCTTTTGAAGTGATCTATACGATACAAAGAAAACGAGTAAACGCGCAACTTTCATAAATGCCTTTGTTCATAGAAGCACTAGCAGTGCCTATGTTGTTGATTCCCCATGTGTCCTACTATCATATCGTCTATTCATGGGTCTCATGACATTCCGAGAGATCTTATTGACTTATTTCATTATACACTGCATTCATTTATACATGTATATTGACCCATGACCAGATGACGTTATATACACGTATGGTATATGTAAATGGGGTATGGGAGAAAGGTTATGGCGTTATATACGCACCACCACATGATCAACTAGTATACGTTTATGATTTCGCTCACAGAAGCTGAGATGATATGATGGGATGCCCTCAAAGGCATGATGATATTATGTACGCATATACCTATGCATGATATGACATTTATATGTATACGCATGACATTATAAATATTTTCATGATTCACAAAGCTATTCAGACTTACAGGTTGAGTTGTTTACTCCATGTTTCTTTCATGCCTTTTATATATTAGTTTTTATTTCTTACATACTCGGTACATTATTCGTATTGACGCCCCTATTACCTGGGGGCCTGCGTTTCATGCCCACAGGTGTAGGTAGACAGGCTGATGGTCCCCCTCCTTAGGATCCTAGCTCAGCGAGAGTTGGTGTGCTCCATTTGACCCGGAGCTGCTATTGGGTTTTGGTACGATACTTTTATAATACATATAAGGGTATGACGGATCCCAGTCACATCCTTTATATAGTTTTGCACTCTATTAGAGGTCTGTAGACGGTCATGTATAGTTGGATAGTATGTGGCCTTGTCGGCTCGCCCTTCGGTCATTTACACTCTTTTGGTCATATTTTCTCACGTATGTTGTTCATATGAATCACTAGTTTATTTCCAAAAGTTATTCATGACCTACACTTATTTCATGTTTACATCTTAGACATATGCTTAGGGATGTTCGATAGGTAGAACTCGGGCACTCATCACGGCCCATCGGTTTGGGTCGTGACATATGCAATTAGAAAAAAATAGACAATTGGATTATAAGGCATGTTACTATCTCACCAGCATGTAAAATCAACAAAGGAGGCTTGGATAATCTTGGTGAATTCACATCGAGGTTCCGCCGGAGTAAAGAAAGTCAAATTGCAAGAGCTAAGGAGACAGTACGAATTGGCCCAAATAAAACCAACAAAGCCCGTTAAATAATTCATTACAAGAATTACTAATATTTTCAACGACATGAGGACCAATGGAGAAGTACTAGATGAAGTTAAAGTGGTTGAAAAAATATTGCGGTCCTTGAGTATAAAATTTCACACAAATAAGGTAGTTCTTGAGGCTACCAAAGATCTTAGCACTTTTACACTTGATGATTTAGAAGGTAAATTGGTGACATATGAGATGTCCCTGACTCAAGACACACCCGAAATAGTGGAGGAGGCGATGCAAGCAAAGGTGAATCAACCTGGAGCAAAAGAAGAGACAAGTAATCCTAAAGAAACAAATCAAAAAGGCCAGAATTTCATAGCTAGAGGTCGTGGTAGAAGTAACTTTCGAGCCGTGGTAGAGGTAATTTTTCTTATCAACAAAGAAATAGTAAGAATTTTTGAAGGAACAATTAGGTCATCAAAATTTTCAAAGATGTGATAAATCTAAGATTCAGTGCTATAATTGTGGTAAATTTGGACATTATGAAAGCGAATGTTGGTCTAATAAATATGGTAATAAAGAAGTACATGCTAAGATGGCTGAAAATAATGGGGATAAACAAGAGACTTTATTGTTTTATAGTTCTGGGTTGAAGAAACTAAAGAGAATGAATGGTTTATTGATTCGAGCTGCATCAATCATATGAGCGGAAATAAGAAATTATTCACTGAACTGGATGAAACATTTAGAGGTACAGTAAGACTTGGAAATAACGCAAAGGTGCCTGTTGTTGGAAAGGGAAAAATTAGCATTACTGTGAAAGATAGTTGTTCTAATTTTATATGAGATGTGTTTTATGTGCCGAGTCTTCATTATAATTTATTGAGCTTAGGGAAACTATCAGAAAAGGGGTATGATTTGCGTTTTAAGTATAGGATTGGCACAATCAGTGATGATAAATTTGGACTAATTGCAAAGTTTAACATGAACAATAGTCGTTTGTGGCCTCTTTATCTCAATAGTGATGATTTACCTTGCTTTAGTTCTATAAACTGTGATGATACTTGGTTGTGGCATCTATGTGTTGGGCATTTGAATTTTGGGAGTTTGAAATTTCTTGCAAGAAAGAATTTGGTTGATGGTTTGCCTTCTATTAATTTTCCTAACAAGAAGTGTGAGTCGTGTATTTTGGGAAAGAAGTACAGAGAATCTTTTCAGAAAGGCAAGGCTTGGAGAGCTAATGCACCATTGCAGCTAATTCATTCAGATTTATGCTCAGTTGAAGTTTCTTCTAATAGCGCTAGTAAGTATTTTATTACTTTCATTGATGATTTCAGCCGAAAGACTTGGGTATATTTTTTGAAAAATAAATCTGATGCATGTGATATTTTTAAGAGCTTCAAAGTTTATGTGGAGAAGCAAAGTGAGTATTTTATTAAAATATTGAGGACTGATAGGGGCACCGAATTTCTTGTTTGTGATGATTATTCAAAGAAGTATGGTATTAAGTATCAATTGACAGCTAGATATACACCTCAGCAAAATAGTGTGGCTGAAAGAAAAAATAGAACAGTGATGGACATGGTGAGATTTATGATGCATTCCAAAAATATTCCAAAAGGTTTTTGTGCATAAGTTATTTCCTGTGCAATTTATGTATTAAATAGGTGCCATACATGGTTTAATTTTGAAAAAACTCCACAAGAGATCTGGACAGGTAAGAAACCAAATATTTCTCATCTAAAAGTATTTGGCTGCCTTGCTTATGCTCTTATTCCTGATGCTTTGAGAAAGAAATTAAATGATAATGCTGAAAACTGTATTTTTATTAGTTTTAGTCATGAGACAAAAGGGTTACAAATTGTCTAATCCAGATACAGAAAAAGTGCTTATTAGCAGAGATGTGACTTTTGATGAGCAGAGTTCTTGGGATTGGTCAAAGAAGGATTCTGAACCATCTAGGTCTCAACCAATAATTCCAGTCATAGAGGAAGGAAGTTCTAGCAGACATCAAGAGGAACGTGCAGTAGATCTTGTTCAAGCAGAGACGTCCAATCGCCCGCAAAGACAACACCAATTACCAGCCCGTTTGCAAGATTATGTTATTGGCAATGATAATGATTTATCCGATGAAGATATTGTAAATTTTGCCTTATATGCAGATTGTGATCCGGTTACTTTTGAGAAAATTGTTAAAGATGATCGATGGGTTCATGCAATGAATGAAGAAATTCATGCTATTGAGAAAATTAATACATGGGAATTGACTACTTTACCACCCCCAAAAGACCAATTGGAGTCAAATGGGTATACAAGACCAAGTTCAAATCAACTGGAAAAGTGGATCGCTTTAAGGTAAGATTAGTTGTTAAAGGATACAAGTAGAAGGAAAGTATTGATTACTTTGAGGTGTTTGCACCTGTTGCTAGACATGATACTATTCGTATGATAATTTCTCTTGCTGCTAATAATTGTTGGAATTTTTTTCAAATGGATGTGAAATCTCCTTTCTTAAATGGTGTACTTGAAGAAGAAATGTATGTTGAGCAGCATGCTGGTTATGTCAAAAGGGGTCAAGAAAATAAAGTTTATAGGCTGAAAAAAATATTATATGGATTGAAACAAGCACCTAGAGCTTGGTACACTCGTATTGATTCTTATTTTATTGGACATGGATTTCAGAGATATCCATATGAGCATACTTTATATATCAAATTCAAGTGTGGCGAATATATTCTCATTGTGTGCTTATATGTGGATGATTTAATTTTTACCGGCAATAATCCTGAATTAATTTATGAGTTTAGAGAGGCAATGATTAGCAAGTTTGAGATGATTGATTTGGGTTTAATGTCTTATTTTCTTGGCATTGAGGTATCTCAATTAGATAATGGAATATTTATCTCTCAGAAAAAATATGCCAGTGATATTCTAAAGAGATTTAATATGGATAAAGCCAAATCAATTTTTACCCCTCTTGAAGAAAAATTAAAGTTGGTTAGAGATGGGACTGGTGACTTGGTTGATGCTACATATTTTAGAAAATTGGTAGGGAGTCTAAGGTACTTGACTTCTACAAGGCCTGATATTACTTATAGAGTTGGATTAATTAGCAGATTTATGGAGACTCCGCGACAATCCCACTTGCAAGCAGCAAAGAGAATTTTGAGATATATTCAAGATACGCATACCGATGGTATATTTTATTTAAAGACTAATGATAGTAGTCTTGTGGGATTTACAGACAGTGATTGGGCTGGTGATACGATACAAAGAAAAAGTACTTCTAGCTATGCATTTTATTTGCGTTCTAGTGTATTTTCTTGGTCTTCCAAAAAGCAACAAGTTATTGCTTTATCAACAGCTGAAGCAGAGTACATGACTACAACAAGTAGTGCTGCACAAGCATTGTGGTTAAGAAGAATGCTTGAATTTCTTCAACACAAGCAAGACAATCCACAATAATTTTTTGTGATAACAAGTTTACAATTGAGTTAACAAAGAATCCAGTTTTTCATGGGCGTAGAAAACACATTGATATCAAATTTTACTTTATTCGTGACTTGGTTCAAGACAAGGAGATAGTTATTGAGTATGCAAGACTGGATAGCAAGTTGATGATGTTTTCACAAAGCCACTAAAATTGAAATTATTCATCTAGTTGAAGAAGATGTTGGGCATGATCAAATTTGAAGATCTTGGTTTAAGGGAGGCTGTTGGAAACTAAATCAAGATTAATTAATATTCTTAAGTTGTCTAAGATTTGATATTTGATAGTTTATTTATTTCATGTCTAGTTAAGTTTTGTTTACTAATTTTTTATTGGAATAGGTTTTTGGTTTTGTAGTATTATAAATAGGGGTGTTACTACTTATTTTCTTGTAGAGAGATTCAAGAGTTTATGAGTTGTGAAAAAGTCTCCTACCACGTTCTCTCCATACTTTAATAAATTTCTTCTATATAGTCTTTGTTAAATTTTTTGCTTGTGCCTAAATTATTCTTGGGGTATTTCAATCCTTCAAGATTGGGTGTATGTTTATGTATAACATTTCTTTTTTTTTTTCTCCATCTCTTATGTCGAATATGTTTAAAGTGTTTTTCGGATTTTCCAGTCGGTGTCTGAGTCTCACTAAGTTCGAATTTACATTGGAAAGTCTTATATTGAGGGTAAGCACTCCCTAACATTTAGCACTTAGACCTCTTAACCTAGATTCACCTTTCTCACGAATTTGGAATCCCCTTATTAAGCATAATAATCTTTCTTCTTCACGAGCGGAGGGTCTATCGGAAACAACTTCTCTATCTCTCCAGGTAGGGGTAAGGTCTGCGTACACACTACCTTTCTCAGACCCTAATTGTAGAATTATACTGGGTATGTTGATGTTATAGTACTAGTAAACTTATTTTCTCGTCACCTTATTTTCTGTCATAAACTTAACATATTGTGACAAGATCAAACACTAACACTTCATTTTATTATTGTGGCTTTGGACGAATGTAATGTCATTTGTCACCTGGGACAATGGGGCCAAATTTGTCCAGTTGATAGTACAAAGCCCAAGTTTAGGTGGTGGACAATGGTGCCCGGACAGAGTTTTACTAATTGTAGTATCTGAGGACTGAGACCTCACCACATGCTGATGATGTTACTGCGTCGGTAGTTCCGTAAATGAAGACCACATCACCCACCCCCCACCGTTTTCCTTTACACTTTGTGGTTGTAAGCATCAGCAAACTGTGAAAAATATCACCGTACAGCTTCAACTAGATTCCTTGTCGTAAAAAATCATCTCTTTTTCCTTTTCGTTTTGCATTTCCCCCCTATACAAGGGGAATTGACAATAAAAAACTATAATTAAACTTACTTTAGAACTATTAGTGCGATTCTAACATGTTAATCCTAAGATAGTCCTTTAAGGAAAAGGAAAAGACTATTAAAAGGGGTGGGGTGGGGGGTGTTTCATCTTAGAGCTTTTTCAACAATAAAAAGGGAAACCAGCTTTTTGGTTATTCGGTTACTAATAAATCAATCTACTTGTTCTTGGGATTAGTTTTGGAAGTTTTTATTATATAGATGGAGGGGAAAAGAAAATAAGCAAGGAGATTATAAGGTAGGATATTAAGGCCCGTTTGTCCATAAATCTTTTTCCTTTTTCAATTTTTTTTTTCAAAAATGTATTCGTCCATTAAATTTTGCACATTTTTTAAAATTTTTCGAAAATGTATTTTTCAAAAATCAAAATGTTGTTTTGACGACTTTTCCAAAATTTTCAGATTTTTTTTTTCCCACTCACAAAACTGCAACATTTTTCAAATAAAATACATGTACAAACATAATTTTAAATTTCAAATATCATTTTTCAACTTAACTCCAAATACTATTTTTTTTCAAAAACTACAATTTTTATGTCCTGTCGAAGGCACTAAGAGCCCGTTTGGACATAATAATTTTTTTATTTTTTTTCGAAATCAGTGTTTGGCCATAAAAATTCTAATTTTCACTTGAAGATAAAATTTGGAATTTTTCGAAAACTTAAAAAACTCCAAAAAGACATTTTTCAAAATTTTCACTCAGGTCACTCGCAAAACTTCAAAAACAACTCAAAATTATATTAATGTCCAAATACAACTCTAATTTTTAAATATTATTTTTTTCTTTAAAAAAAAATAATTTTTTTTTACAATTCTTGTGTCCAAACGCCCACTAAATTTTCACGGACCAGGTAAAAGTTTAAAATAAGAAAGAGGCTCGAAAAAGTCAAAAGGATCATCACTTCCCAACTTGAAATAGCATAAGTAGTGCGTCATATTATCCTGTTGCTATCTATGCCAACTTTCACTTTACTAGTTGAATTGTCTGATAGAATTTCAGGAAATTAATCGTGCTTAATCGAGAAAAAAACAATGTTTTTTTCAAATACTAAATGTAAATATTCCTGTAAAGCAAAAAAAAGTTTAATGGTGAATAATTACCATGTTTTTTTCAAAAACACTATAGAACACAAACTAATTTCGAGAAATTATTTATTAAAATAAATTCCAAACTTTCTCCGAATAAAATTTCAACAAAACTGACCAAACGCCCATGTTCCAAAAAGGAACACCTTCGGCTTTGATGAATAGAAGAATTGCAGTGATAGAAAAGCTTTTTCCTTTGTGTTGTTAAACTTTTTGGAAACAATAATGCACCGTTTAATGGGCCATTCGCCAGACCATCAGATTCTCAAGCCTCCCCACTTCCCTCTCCCTCAAGTTCAATCTTCAATTTATTTTATTTTTTTTGAAAATTCTCAGAAAATCTATAATCGCTATTATTTGGATGCGAAATGAATAATCAGTTCATTGTGTAATACCTCGTAAACCACAAAGTAAATATAAATCGTACTAAACAATTCTGGTAAAATAAGCTCTGACTGAGGATGTTGTTAATATAAAACTTAAAACGATAATTTGTTACATTCATCTCATCTTGGTGAGCAGAATTATCTCGTGGTAAGTAATTCATATAATATTTGAGGCGGCACTGAATAGCCTATACAACTCGATAATAAAAAATAAATAAATAAAAGAGAGCCTATCCATAGAATTATGTCATGACGTTAATAAACAAAAATTTCAATTTTGAAGTAAGCCACTTATATTTTTTTGTGCCAGCATTTTAAGCTCTCTTCTTAATCAAATGATAATTAAAAAACTTTTAAGTTAAGCTTTAGTTTCATCATTATCAATATCTTATAATCATATGGGGATTCCGAATAATTTTATCATTCCTATTTGTTTAACAAGCACCTGCTCACCAACCTTATAATGTAAAGGCCCTATTCCTAAAATAAACCAAATGACAGCAAATCAAATATAAGTAGACTATTTATTTTAATCACGAGTTGATGAAATACTCTATAGATTAGACCTTACTTAGTAACTTAATACTATATATACTGCTCTCCAGCTAATGGTACAAAGATATCAGTGGACTTCAAAAAGGTCCCACAAACCTAACCACGTTTCACACCTAAAACCATAACCCTCCATTACAAAACCAAACTTGAAAAACTTTGATCACATTGTAAGCCATTTTCAAACATGTCAAAATCAATAACCTCTGTTTTCTTCTTCTTCTTTCTCTTTCTTTGCTTAAGTTCAGTTCAATCTCTTCCTCCATCTTCTGATATCATCGCACTTCAAGCTTTTAAAGCCGCCATTAAACCTTCTAGTATTCCTTCATATTCTTGTTTAGGTTCTTGGAATTTCAGTTCTGACCCTTGCTCTGTTCCTCGTGTGACTCATTTCACTTGTGGACTTTCTTGTAGTTCTGGTAATAGAGTTACTGAACTCACTCTTGACCCAGCTGGTTACTCAGGTACGCTTACTCCGTTAATTTCTAAACTCACTCAACTCGTCACTCTTGATCTTCAGAATAACAACTTCTACGGCCCAATTCCTGCTTCTCTCTCCTCTCTTCCCAATCTCAAAAACCTCGTTTTGAGACTTAACTCATTTTCTGGATCAGTCCCACCATCGCTCACTTCTCTTAAATCTCTTCTTTCCCTTGATCTTTCTCATAACTCGATTTCTGGGTTACCAAATTCGATGAACCAACTCACTAGCTTGAGAAGACTGGATCTTAGTTATAATAAGCTTACCGGGTCACTCCCAAAGTTACCCCCGAATCTTATAGAACTTGCAGCGAAGGCTAATTCTTTATCTGGGTCTCTATTAAAGTTGTCATTTGATGGGTTAAAACAGCTGGAAGTAGTTGAGCTGAGTGAAAATTTGTTATCCGGAACGATTGAAGCTTGGTTTTTTCAGTTACCTTCACTGCAACAAGTCGACATGGCGAATAACGGCTTTACACGTGTCGAGATCTCAAGGACTGGAAATCTGAACAGCGACCTCGTCGCCGTCGACTTGGGTTTCAACAAAATCGAAGGCTATTTGCCCGTAAATTTCGCGTTTTTTCCTCGGTTGTCTTCACTGTCGCTGAGCTATAACAGGTTTCGTGGACCAATCCCGTGGCAGTACAGTAAAAAGGTGACGTTGAAAAGGTTGTATTTGGACGGTAATTTCTTGAATGGGTCGCCGCCGGCTGGATTTTTCGGCCGGCAAACGGGAGTCACCGGCAGTTTAGGGGACAATTGTTTACAAAAATGTCCGACTTCTTCGCAACTTTGCTTGAAATCACAGAAACCTACGTCCATTTGCCAACAAGCTTACGGTGGGAAACCAAAGTCTTAGTTTTGCGTCAGTCAATGCTTCTGAGATTTTTGTCTTGGTTTTCATATTGTAATAGGAGTATTTTATTCTTTGGATAAGAGAAATGCCTAATATAATCTGTTCGTTCATCTGAATTATGCCATCTGTATATTGTATAGTATACCTAGTTATACTAGAAAATTATGGATATCTTAGTACAATAATTCCTTATTATTGTGTGAAACTATGAAAATGTACGCTTCTTATTAGTCCCGGGCCAAATTGTCGGAGAGCATTAACCAAAAATATGTACATAAAGAAATGGAAACAATGTCAGATACATAGAGATAGGAGTATATTTGAACAATTTGGCACAAATTTTGACTCAATTTCGAAATTTGTGATAAAAAGGATGGATATCAGTGATATTTTTTAGGACTCATAGATTTTGGTTACTTTAAATAAAATATGCATAAATAGTAATAGGAAAATGAATAGTGTATCACATATTTGGAGGAACACTATTGATCCCATTTTGGGGGCAAAAATGGGAGAGGGTTGGATCTTAGTAGTGGCAAAAATTGCCCTGTTGTGGGAAGATGGAGGGTTGGAGATGCCTAATGAATACTTTAATATTCAACTGACTGTGACAAAAGGTATCATTTGGCTCACTTTCCCATTAGAATAAGTTTACATTTTTATAAAAAGTTAACTTTCCCACTACTTTCAAACTTGCACCCAAAATGTTTAACTGTAACCCTAATACAAATCAATCCCAAGGTAATCAAATTCACAATCCATTTGTGATTCTTTTGAACAAGTGTGATGAAAATATGTGTTTAAAAAAAGGAGTAATATTTTTATATATATAGCGCTCTTTTAGACCGCGCTATACAAAGCTGATAAGACAGTTATGCATAGCGCGATATATATCCGCGTTATATATGTATAGCGCAGTTATATACCGCGCTATACATACATAAACAAACGGTCCCCCTCCTTCCCCACACTCGAACTAGAGCCCCTATTTTTAACC